CTTTCCGTCTGTGCCGAAGCAAATCTGATGATTTTGAAACGATGAATCAGCAAACAGATAAGTTTGTGAGGAGGATAACAATGGTGGCCACCGTTACGGCTTCCTATTTCCTCTTAACCGCTGACTATGGCCCCGAACCCAACGTTCTCGACCCTGTAAGTCTATTCTCTCGAATTTGTAAATGGATTTCCCTTATACTTTCGTTTTTCAATCTAAGACTTGAGTTTCCTTTTGCTAATTTAATTTCAATAGGTCTTACCTGTGTTCATGATGTTGCAAATTCTTGATCTTGATGTTATCAAGCACTGATAATTAAATTTTTTTTTTTTTTTTTGTACATATTCTGCTCATGTTTTAGCAAGCTTGTTAAATCGGGATTTTGGTAAACGGATTCTTTTTCTGCTTAAATTTATGCATAATTTATTCGATCACAAATAACTGAAATAAGTATATCACTCGCTGTTGAAAATTGTAAGTGAAGTGGTAACATGAAACCTCTTCCTTTGGGTTCCATTTGATTGAGATAGATTCATTTTCGAGGGTGGTAGAAATCCTTGATATGTTTTTTTCATTCAAGAAGTTTGATAATGAGTTTTGGTTTGGGATATGTAACTTTGATAGGGAAGCTTTTGTTTATTTCTATTGAATCCCTAATCACAGTAACTTGCCATGATTCTTTATCTTCTCCTTTGAAGAATATGAAAAATATGATGTTTCTACCAACTGTTTTCATACCATTTTCTTTCACCATTATGGGGACCTCAAACCTTTTAAGTATTGATGTATTTTTGGTGCATAGAGGGGAGCTTTTTAGTCTGTAATAGTTCGGTGCTGATCTCTACTCCAATATAAGTGTCTCCCTGAGTCCCTGTGGTGGTGTAAAGTGATATGAATGAATTCAATTTGTGAATGTTATTGTTTTTTTTTTGTCAATAGTCTTAGAGATTGGTTTATCTGTCACTTTAGCACTGTGGTTCAATGTACAATTTTGGGGGTTTTATGATATCTGTTTACAATGGCAGATTAAGAATGCGATACTATCTGCGGAAAGCTCTCTGAAAGAGTATGTCTTTGGATCAAAGAAAGAAGGTGATCAGGAGAGTTCAGTCCGGAAGCCGCCTTCTGATGGTAGAAAGGAGCACCCATAGTCTACAAGGGAGAGAATAGATTTTGGCAGAAGCATCAGTTTTGAATTTTATTTCGAGGGAATGATGTGAGACCAAACTCCTTATGATTAAAAATTGTTGAAATTTGTAGTATGGAAGTAATGTTGCAGATTCTGAATGAAATCTCCAGAAAGTAATAGAAGAATAGAAGTTTCCATTGTTGATCAATGGTTCTGATATTTGCACCGCTAAATGCTAATATTTGCAATTACCTCTATTATGTATTTCCTTTCTCATGAATAGTTCAAAGCCATTAAGCAAATATCAAAAATCAGAAAATCCTCAAAACAAAGAACATAAGATCCAAACAAAATTATAATCAAGTCTTAATCATCAAATTCATGTACACTTGGTGAGACAAAGTTCTCAGTAACATTAATGACTAATGAAGTAAAACTTCAAGAACATGATTAGGCATATGTGTTAGGAAGTCAAAGGTTGCAATGACCTCCACTAAAGATATCCCTCAAGTACAATGCTCTTACCCGACACCTTCGTCTGTAAATTCTTTACTTCAAGTCTTTTAACCTCAGTATTTAATGACATGAGCAGATTTCGTGTCTCAGATTCATCCCATTGTGGCAACACTTCAATCACAATTTTTCGCAACACATTCTGCTCAACAGCCTCTCTAATGAGCTCTTCAAGATCAGTTAAATTGCCTCTCAAATCCAGCAAAACACTACATAATCCCCGGGATTTACAATCTTCCAAAATCGGAGTCAAACTTAGTGTATCCAAAACCACAGTTTTAATTCCTTTTTGACTTGTTTTTGGTTCTACAGTGGTTTCTTGGTCTGTAAATATTATTGTCTTAGATGCCCTTTCTTCAGTGAGTCCAGGAAGTTGAATTGGAGAACAGGAAGTGCTTGCTATTATAATCTGCAGGGGTTGGTTGGCACCAGGTTCTCGTGATGTAAGGAATGGGAACTCTTTAGTCAATGAAGCAGAATGCACAATTGCATCATATTCTTGCAACAGTTGAGAGTAGTATCCACCACTCTCAGTGACACCCTCCCCAAGCATGTCTGAAAAGTGGCCATTGACAGATAGGGTATACCTGGTAGTCATCAAAATGCCTTTGGTTAGATTATTTACACATTGTAGTAAAAACTGCATATTGGTAAATTCCACGAAATGATAAAATAAAGGCATGCATCAAGACTAATGAAAAATTCTTAAACGAACCTAAGTGTAACAAAAGGTTTCCCCGTCAACATTTGATGAATCCAAGCCTCATTAAGCCTCTTGCATAATTCTTCTTCCACACCAACTGTGACATCAATTCCTGCACTTCTCAATCTTGCCACCCCCTTTGATGCTACAATGGGATTAGGATCTACCATCCCGACCACCACCCTCTTCACTTTGGCTTTAATCAGTGCCTCAGTACATGGGGGAGTTCTTCCATAGTGATTACATGGTTCTAAGCTTACATATGCTGTAGCATTCTCAGCCAAATCCCCTGCATCTCTCAAAGCAAAAACCTGCAAATTTCACCTCCTAAGTCCTAACTTGGGTTATCTAGAGAGCCTTGAACAGAACAAAACAATCCAAAATTCTTAGACGATAGCCAAAAGAACTAAAGGCTTATGCCAACAGTCCAAGAACAGGATATCACAACCTAAATGCTGTTCAACTTACACAGTTACACCTACCTTGCATACAAAATATCCCTTCCATATGCAAGATTGAAAGTATCTTTCTTTCAATTAAAAGAGTTTCTTTTGAAGAGATTAAGATCAGATTATGGGAATGTTGACAAAGCAAATTGGGATCAACCATTAACAATCCTCACCTCTCTACATACATAGAGTCCTCACCTATGTTCTAAAATTACTAATCATTAAAACTGAAGTTAATCCTGCTTGAATAAAAAGAACCAAAAGAAAAAGGAAGTATAGTCTTTCTCTCACTCATGAATAAAATCCAATTTAACCGTTTGACCCCCAAAGTTCAATTCTTTTCTTCAGCTTCTAGAGCATAAGAGAATCATTAAAGTCATTTGATCAACAAAAAGAAATTCACAGGAAGAAATAGAAATAAGGTACCTCGGCATGAGGCTGGCCAGCTTTAGGATGAAACCCTTCACCAACAATCTTGCCATCTTTCACAATTAGACAACCCACCATGGGATTGGGACTTGTGCGTCCAATTGCTTTCCTTGCTAGCTCCACACACTTCCTTATGTAAAATCCATCATCAAACCCATTCACTTGCATCATTTCACAACTAACCCCAATGGGTCTAACCAAACCACGGTATCTTCTCGAACCGGTCTGTAATCTAGATGACCCTTTCCTTTGACTACCCTGAAGTTTTGTGAATTGAAATGTTGAAGAAAGAGAGGCGGGTTTTTGGGGAGAAAAGAAGGAATTGGGTGGACGGAAAATGTAGTTCTGGGGTGAAAGAGTCTGAATCTGCATTTGCTTATTTCCAAAAAAAAAAAAATCAACCCGGTATGGGAGAAAGTCTTACTTAGCTAAAATGAACAGTTGAAGATTTATCCCCAGTTACTATTCTTTATGGATATCATGCTCCCTCCATCATTCTCCCTTTAAAGTTTGAACTTCGAAATCTAGTATCTCTGAATGAGTTCGATATTTGGGGAGTATATTCGAAGTTCTAACGGATTCAGTACTACAACCGTTTTGAACCCAATCCTTTCAGCCCCTTGTTCCACCTGAGAAAGGCAGAAAGAAGCATTCCAAGGTAAACATTATATCATTTTTTTTCCCTGCAAAAAATGACAGCAAATATCAAAATTGATCATCTTTTCTTTAGTGATTTTAGTGATTTTCCTTTTTCGGAAAACGTCATTCATCATTCAATTTCTTGAATTCACTCTGATTTTTTTTATTTTTTCTCTCAATTCGCCGGAACCGGAAACAAAAAATCTCATTCTCTCAATTTCAGAATTCAAAGAACACAAACTAAACCAAAAATTAAAATCTAATCAGAACACAAGTAAAAACAATGTCAGTACAGCCCTCAGTCTCACCTTTGAGGGTTCAAATTCGTTGGATGGAGCTTCTCTAATGGTGGGGGAGGGAGATCGTCGGGATGTTGAAGGGAGAAGAGTGTGTGATCGTCCGGCGACGATTTGAATAGGGGGGCGGACAAGGGATTTCAGACGAGCTCCATAGAAAGCCGGAGGGATAAGGTCCCAAGGCTCCCGGAAGGGATAGACTCAAAACGGCATGGCTTTATTGAACCCTAAATAAATAGGTATTCAATAAGGTAAAAATAAAATAAGTACATAAATAATTGTCTGAGCCCGGGTTCGAACCGGGGACCTCTAGTGTGTGAGACTAGCGTGATAACCAACTACACCACCCAGACGGATTACCAGCCTGTTTTTCAATAATTATATATTGTTAAATTAAACAAAGTGAAAGTTATTAATTATTATTTCATTCCGACGAGCCTCCACTTTTCGTTTTTTTATTTCTTTGGGAAGCTAGCAACATAGATGTTTAAAACTATGATTATAGTTTCATATCTGTATATCAGTAGGATCGAATTTTCACAAAGGCATGGAGAAAGAGACATACCTCAAGGGTACTTCATAAGATGACACACATAGCCTGGCCCCTTGACTCTGTTATTTTTCAAACTCTCTTGGATGGCTTCTAGTTGTAAAATTATTTATTCAAATGTTGGACGATAATCTGGACTCTTATGCCAGCATTCCCTGAGAAGCCTAAAATACAAACAAGGAGCAATATAGAGTCATTATCTTAACAAATAATCATTTTTACATCAAAGAAATGATAAAAATTGTAATGCAGTGTGACAAGTTGGATTGCAAAATGTTGCTCATGAAAAGGCAGATAGCAATACTGATATCACAAGGCATTCATCAAGAATGATCTCAAAATTTTTTTTCTTGGTGCATTTCAAAAGAAACTCCAGTTAGGTTCTTCTTTTGTTGAGCACAAAAACGCACTCAAGGAGACCTTATTGTATGATCGCTCCAGTTGCTACGCGACTCCTTTTCATTATTGGCTTTATAAAGAAAGGTTCATACATTGCATGTGCAACTTCTTTTTAAGATTCTGAGTGCTAAATTATCATCTGTAATTACAGTTGTCTTTGCTGCTTACCAACATGCTGAAATGGCAAATCAGGAAAGCAGTCCAAGAGAACTCACGTCTTGATTTATTCAGGGTATAAATGTGAGGAGAGTGGAAGCCTTGAATCTTCAAATGCCCCTTTATCTGCAACTTGTTCTGCAGTTTCCGCACTATTTGAAAATACTCCTTGGAACATCTGCAAATCGATCCAAAGCACCAGACAGATTTGGAGATATGCCATGAGGACCCGCATTACAAATAATAATTTAGCTTTACATGTTTAACATTACATTGCATAAATATGATACGTCATATTGATATATATACATACAGCTCAAAGGTTCTGATAACAGTTACCTCATGTACTATTAGAGCAAAGGAAAAGACATCAACACTCTTCCCATATGATTCTCGACAATAAACCTCTGGC